ACGCCGCCCGCTGCCGAAACCTGCCTGCGGTATATGCCAAACATCCCAAAAACACCGCTTGCCCAGACATGTTGCTGCCCATCCCTGGCGTTATAGCGGTTCGCTCCGAACAGGTATAAGTCGTGAATCGAAAGTGTTTTACGCGGCCACAGCCATGCCGCCGCCGCCAGATCCTGCACCGACATCGCTCGGTGGTGGTGGGGGGGCATCGAGCCTTGTGTTGTCGGCCATCATGCGGTTGAAGCCAATTGATACGCCCTCAATGACAGCCAGCAAGATAGCACAGGATATCGCTCCGTTTCGCATCGACCTGTAGCCTCCTCGTACTGCGAGCGATCCGCCGGTGAAGAATCCTGCGATGATGGCATTCCATGGGTCTTCCTTCTTCCGTATTCCCTTGACTGCGCAGTCGTATGTGTTGAAAAGTCCTCCCCAAACACCGAAGTTGCCGCCGAGAACGGGGGCGCGGGCCTTGATGGCTGTGATGGCACCGATGCGTCGCTCGCCGTAGGGTGAGTTACGGAACTGCAGGCTTGTAAGCGCACTTCTTCAAGACACCGAGACCGTACTTACGCCTTTTACGCCGTGCCATACTGCTCCTCCAACAGCCTAGCCCACAGTTAGTAATGGGTTGAAGACACTGCGCCTGAGGGGACATACGCCCATGGCAAAGGCACCACCAAAGTCATTGAGAATGACCCAGGGACAAGGATCGCGCGAATGATCCATTATGTATTATTAAGATGAGAGACGTGTTTTGGGCGGTTCCGAGGGCGACGGGAGGGTGTGGGCGAGCTTGTGGTCGGACGATAGCCACCGGTGACGATGCGCTTCGATGGAATTTCTTGAGGACCCTTGCTCCTTTGGCGCTAGCGGCGAATCTTCGGGGCCGCTGCAACCATCGTCTGCCATCAATCCTCCTGGCATACCTCATCCTTCACCACCCGAATCACTGTGCAACGCTCTGTCTTTGTCGACTTGTGACTGTATGCTATCTTGTACTTGACTATTTATCGGTAACAGAGATGTCGAAGGATGCAGCTATAAGTCCCCCGTTAGAGCGATGCGTATCGCACGCGGCTGTTATATGCGGAATGAACAACGATCTTAACTACAAAGACGTCTCAAGACTTGGTCCAGCTGTTCGAGATGTTAGATGATCATTTTGTGAGTATTCAGCGCTGGTGACAACAGTGTAAGATGCGACTGACGAATCTTTCTCTTTTCTACTTCTCTTGTGCAATGCATCCATCAGCCTATCCAATAAGTTTAGGCACCCTTACTCTCACTATGTCTCTATCATCTGTTTTCTTTATCGTACCATTAGTGTATAAATCGCCACTCTCTTCTACATTCATGCCATCTTCCTCACCGCTGCACTGGAATGTGTCACACAATCAGCGTTCACCGTCCCAATTGGGGTACTTGGCCTGCGTTCACCTGTCTTGTTTCTCGTCCACAAGCTTCTACGCTCACCTAATCGTTTCTGCGTTTTGATTTCCTACCCCGCTTTAGGCATCTGTGTCACCGCGAATTGTTTAGCTCACGCGGAGTCTTGGCGCGCGTGTTGTCGTCGCTATCAACTTTGATTGTACCTCTACTCACCCGTCCACCTGTACTACCAGAATCAATCACACAAGCTCGAAAGTATGGCAGGCGCCACTCGGGGTCGTACGCGCAATGGTGCAACCAAACCGCCGCCCTCGTCCAGCGAGGATGATACACTTGCAGCCGCGCTCATGGAAGGAAACCCTCACGTACCTTCGCGAGAACCAGAGCGTCTGTCTGACCGCGACGACGTATCGCGTCTGAGTGAGGGACTGGAACCGCTGCATTTAGTTGGTCAGGACGGTAAGCTTCGTGTTGAAGAATTGTAGTTAAGTAACTAACAAAGGATCAGATACACCGCAAACTCCTAATGCACCCGCCTCTGGTGAAATTGACCCGCTTGGTATCCACGTAAAAGATGCCATATCAACCATCAGTCGGCTAGAGGGACTGGGCCTGCAGATGTTAGAGATCCCTTTGCCGAAGTGCATTGTTTTGGGTAAGTTGTGTCGCACGACTTCAACCTTTACCTAACTAACATAACGTTCCAGGCGAGCAATCCACCGGGAAATCTTCGGTAATTGAAGCAATATCAGGCATCAAGACCCCTCGCTCGACCGATACATGCACTAGGTGCCCACTCTTCATCAAGCTAGAACCTTCAGAGAACACTTGCGCCGGGTGGAGCGCAACAATCAGTCTACGCCGAAGCTTTGGCTATGACAGTAAAAAGGGTCGAGGACATGAAGGACGATTTCCAGGATGGGTGCAAATGCCCAAGCCTACCGATACACACTTCGCATCTACAGAAGACTCCCACCAACTCGAAGAGCTAATCGCACGCGCTCAAACAGCGATTATAAATCCTATGATGGACTACAAGGAGTTCCTCAAAGCACCCATCGGCGCGCTCGGGGACTATCACAGCTGTGAATTCAGCCCAAACGTTGTCTTCATCGCAATCTCACATCCGGATCTTCCTGCACTAAGCTTATATGACTTGCCAGGAATTATTGGTCAGGCAGAGTCTCCAGAGACAGGGTATCTAGTTGACTTTGTCCACGATCTAGTGACAGACTATGTCAAGGATCCAGAGGCCCTTATCCTAGTGACTTGCTCACTAGAGAACGACATCGCGAACTCGACTGCTGGTGGAATTGCGCGGAAGCTCAACGCCACAGATCGGTGTATTGGTAAGTATAATGCCCTCTGTTGTGTTCGTCGCTAATATTTCTAGGTGTGCTTACCAAACCGGACCGCTTACCAGCAGGATCCCGCTACGAAATGCTGAAGGCAGTGTTTGACCAACAGCGCTTCGCCCTGGGACATGGATACTTCGTCGTCAAGAACCTGGACCAAGACGAAATTAACCAAGGTCTCACCCATCAGCAGGCTCGTATTCGAGAGCAGGAGTTCTTCGCCGAAGGAGAGCCTTGGGCGACAGACTTTGTAGACTACGACCATCGCTTTGGTACTCTGAACCTACAACGCTTTCTTTCTGGAAAGCTCGCGGAGCAAATCACTAAGAAACTCCCTATAATCGACCAAGAGATCAATGCCAGGCTTGAACAGGTACTCGCTGATCTTCAGCAATTTCCAGACCCACCAACTCACAATGCTGCCCGGATGATCTCGGACGTCGTACTTGATTTCTCCCAAGATGTACGTAGGGAGCTGGAGGCTGAGTTTCCTTGTAAGGCATGGCGCAACAATTGGAAGGCGCTACAGAAGTCATTTTTCGACGCTCTGGCAAGCTTGAAGCCTACCATGTCCACGCGCGGAGATCGAGATGCGACCGTCTACATGGACGTGCTTGGAGCCCAACCTGGAAGCTCTGCCAGCAAGGCCATTGCTGTTGATGACGATGAAGAAGAAGGGGAAGATGAAGACGATGCTCATTTCATCACACAAATGAGCAGTAACCCCGAAACGCCCACGAAGAAGCGAAAGCTTGAGACTCCAGGTCCCTCACCAGCGAAGACACCCAGCCGTCGACGTCTACCAAATTCAGCGGCTCCAGGCTCAGACCTCAGTGAATTCAGAAAGAACTTTCCTCTCGACCAGGTCACACAACACCTCGCAGAAAACTCGCAAAGCAAGGTACCAGGTCAGATTGAGCCTCGTGTTGTTGACAACATGATGCTCAAAACACTTGAACATTGGGAGAAGCCGCTCAATAACTTCTTCAACATGCTTGAAGGTCAGATTGCTAATCAGATCAAAGCATTGTTCCACAAGCACTTCTCTAAATATGAGGGATCGACTTTCTACCGAACTGCCTGGCAGATTGTTAACCAGATGGTAAGCCTCAACTTCAACCAGCAGCGCACTACAATAGCCGACGAGAGTCTCAATGATGAGAGGGAGGGACCTTACATCTTTTATGACGAGATCTTTGAACAGGAAAAGGAAGCTGTTCTAGATTGTTACCGCCAACATAGATTTAAGGCGCGCCTTAACATCTACAAGCGTGAAAGGCAACAACAGACAGATAGACCAGTTACTACGCAAGAGGAAGAGAAGTTGAAGAAGGACGCTAGGGTAATGGAGGTATTGAATCATGAGCCATACGTGGTAGAGCTCAGTGTTGTGGCCCAAGTCACAACCTACTACATGCTAGCAGCGCGCCGTTTGCACGATGCCGTCTGCATGCGCATTGAGTCTAAATTCTTCAAGCAACTGCGTACGCAGCTCCGTGATGAACTTGAGAACGGACTGGGTCTCAATGACGGAAGCGAAGGTAAGATCCCGCTCCATGTCCCGCTAAGCATCTTACTGACACCGCAAATCAGGTTATAACAACGCAGTTCGCCTCTGTGCTGAATCATCTCAGCGCTACAACCAACGCAAGGAACTAGTCGGTCAGCGAGACTCGCTTCTACAAGGCCAAAAGATCCTTCGAGACCTCCAGCAGAAGTATGCTGGTGACAACACCTCCTCCACCACCTCTGTTTCCAACATTGGCTCTAGCACTTGCTACTCGAGTGCTTCTTTCGGCGGCGGCATGACTACTCCGCTGTCTGAAGAGATGGACGATTGCGATATGACTAGGCTTCCGCGCCGCCGATAGAGGGACTACGCTTTGATCAGGACACGAAACGCGCTTCTTGCGAGGCTGGTGAGGACCGGGTATAGCATGTGGAAAGAGTTGTTCATTTTATGACTATACGCAGGAACTGTTACAAGTGAAGCGTAGTTGCATAGCGCTATTATGACAGCTGCACTTGAGTATGCAAATGTCGGTCATGCATTAGCTGTAAAACTTGCTGCTTCCTAAGAGGAATGATATGAATGTCAACTTAATTTTCACGTCATCCTAGATTTACTAACCCCTGACGTGCATTCTACTTGTGAAAGTTTTACTACTTTGCCAACTCTGTGTTTTGCAGCTAAGGTATCTCTTCGGCGTTGCAACAAGCGTATGTGCTTCTACTATTCTACTTTCCACAAACCTATTTATCTCCGTTGCCTTCAGCATTGCCATCCACGTCACCCCCTTTACCCTCTCCGTTCTCTTTATCACCACTGTCTCTTCCCTCTTGTTCTGCATCCCCTCCTCGCATGTCCTGTTCACGCTGCCCAGTAGTAGCCAGCTCGCCATTCCGCGCTCCTCGCCGTTGTTCTTGTAAACGTCTTAGCAAGTAGTCAGTCCTTGCCGAGTATGTAGCGTGATCCCGCAGACTTATCACAACTTCCAGCTGCATCTCATCTTCCTCTGTAGACACACCAATACTACGGAAATACGCGAGCCTGCGTCTGCCTTGCCTGACCAAAATTTCAGCATCACTAGTGTCTAGCTCGTCCAGGGCTCTTCGTAGCCCCGATTCGGTGGCAAGAGGCTCAGCGACGGTGTCGACACGTGGGTGAGCTGGGAGAAGTGGTCGTTGTCGATGCGTTTCTTGGGCAGCTTCTACCCTTGCCTGCGCTCCGAGATTCGATGCGGCTACCTCTCCCAGTGTCTGATTGATTGGACTCTGAAATAGTGGTCTTCCATCGATGTTGCTCTCGGGTTGTTCTGTTGGACGGAATCGCGCAATAATTCTTGCAATGAGAGAGAGCACATTATCTACACTAGGCCTTGACGACCAGCCGATCGCGTTTTCAAACTCTTGCCTAACTGCAGTACGGCGCTCTTGTGTGTTTGTAAGATTGGATAGAACAAGAAGACCCGCGACGATCGCGCTATCGAAATCAGCATCACTCCTCACGCCCGCTGGAGTCAAGCGTGATGGTATGAGGTCGAGAAGTGAAGCGATGTTCCAGTTCCTGTAGATAAGATCAAGGGTCATATCTCGCTGTGTTGAACTACGGGTCTTGATCTGTGGTCCTTGGATCCCAGGCTGCTGCTCATTCTTTCTTGGCCTTTTGCTCTCGTTCTTCATAAAACCGTTGTCGTCAACCTCTTGTTCTGGTTCGCCTTCTCCGTTGCGTTTCATGGCTCCGGCACTTTTTCGCTTCTTGGATCCTGACCTATTCCCGTCGTTTTTCGCTTTCACTATCGTCTCTTTATGGGTCTCTGGGTCTATTCTGTCTCCTTTGAATAGTCTTCTTATATCGTCGCGCAAATTTACTTCTTTTTCTTCCCCCGTTCTACCAATCTTCCGATTTCCTCCCGTGTGCCTCCTTTTATCCCAGAACAGGACGAACTGCTCCTTCATCTTCTTGTTCATAGCTTTCGTCTGTTCAGACAGCTGCTGGAACTTGAGAAGAGTTGCTAATTCCCAAGTGTCGTCGCTGACGTGTTGGAGTTTGAGTGGTCCTGTCAGCCATGTCTCTTCGGTCAGGATGTCGTGAACGTGTTCGATGTTCCAGTTTTTCCTAATGGCCGCAAGTGCTTGTGCTCGTTGATGAGCCTTAGATGAAACAGGAGCAGTGGCAGGCTCAGTGGTATCCTCACCGTCGTCTCCGCTGTCGCCTCCATTGCTGCTGATATTGGTATCAGTCTGCATGTTCTCTTGCTCTCCGTCTATACCATCAAAGCCCTCGAGCTGGCGTACTAGGCGGTCTTCTTCTTGCAATGCCTGAGGTACTTCTTGATCTAGCCCATCTGCCACCCCATCTGTTGATGCCTCATCCTCGACATCATCCTGCTCTTCTTCGTCTGATAGAGGCTCTGTCATCGTTGAGTCTTCATCCGAATCTGCGTTCATGCCCCCTACTTTCGCTGCCTCATGATCATTCTCCTCCAGATCGTCCTGGCGTGTCTCGTGGCGTTGCTTGGACTCGCGGCGTTTGTTGTTTCTGGATTTCGACATTCTAAAGTTGTTGTCCTTGGTGGCTTGCTTGACTGTTATAAGAGCTTAGTGGACGAGTGAATAAACGAATAACCCTTACCCCGTTCTTATAAATACACTCCCACTACCCTATCTCTTTCCATCGTTTGTAACTCAGACAAACAAGGCTCTTTGTACTACCGTTTCTTGAAAACGCTAGAAGTATTACATTGGCAGGTATTGTACCTAGTAGAATAGAAGGCAAGAGGACCGGTGTGGCGCTGCTATCAGTGTACGTATGACATGGCTGTTAGTTTTGAACAAACTACATCAGATGTGATTCCCTATCTACATCTTGGCATCTTACGACCGTCAGACGTTGTCCCATCCCATCTCGTCACTGCCATCTATCTATTCTCAGCCAAATTCCCCAGACGCCCCAAATAATCCGGAGCGAGATTAGACAATAAAACGTACCAGCAGTAAATATACATTTGAAAGATAAGAGAAAAACGGTCCAGGAGCTAAACAGGGAAGATGGAATAGAAAGAAGCGTAGTTCAGATAGTGGAAAAGCCGAGGCATAATAACCATGCTCGCCCTACAGCTTTCGATGTCACTACCAGTTCTACCACATATCATCATCAGCCCTCTGACTCTGATCAGAATCCGAATGATTAGCATAGCCCCCTCCTCCTTTGCCCGACTGACCCAGATAATTCTGTGTGTTTGCAACGCTATATCCACCGCTGCCTCCATTCGCACTATAATTAGAATGATGAGAATCGCGAGGATTCTGGTTGTATTGATTACCCTGCGACGCGCCTCTTTGATGCTGTTGTTGCTGGTGCTGTCCATTTTGTTGCTGATGTTGTAGCGCCCCGTTCGCTTGTTGTTGATGTACGCTTGGCCATTCATTGGATTTCTCTGATTGTTGCTCATGTTGCTGCTGCTGCTGCTGCTGCTGCTGCTGTTGCTGGTATCTTTGTTAGCATCTCTTCTGAACAAACTTGCTTTCAACGAGGACTTACCTGCTGGTATCGCTGATACTGAGCAAACTCCTCAGGCTGCGATTGCTGTTGTTGAGCTTGTTGAGCGGCTTGCTGCTGTTGCTGCTCCTTCTTCTGCTGCGCAGCTTGTTGCTGTTGCTGAGCCTGCTGAGCTTGCTTCGCTTGTTTGGAGTTACCAATGGAGATCTGCGGGTGCATTTGTTGGACTTTCGCGAGGTATGAGTACATGAAGTTGCTCAATAAGACCTGAGAATAGAGTTCGCGACGAGGGTTCGCGAGCTTGATGTGAGCCATGCGGTAGATCGCACGTTCTTCAAGGATTGAGAATCGGGTCCAGTTGTAATCGATATCGGGCTTCAAGATGCGTGGCGGGGGCTCAGGCGATAGTCCGCGTGAGGCGTTCTTCTTGTGAGACGACTCCTTCTCGCCCTTCTTCTTTCCTCCTCCGAAGATAGAGGATAGTAGTCCAGGCTCCTTCTCTTTCTTGCCTTCGCTAGACGTCTTTCTGGCGCTCTCTTTCTTCCGCTCCTCTTCTAGCTTGATACTTTCTCGATCCAACACAACGCTTTCACGACCACGACCACCACCTTGTATCGACGTTTGCAGGAGGTCCAGTCTTGTATCATCGTGCCCCTTTTCCTGAGGCTTGCTGAGCTTGTTCTTGACCTTCTTGTCTTTTTCTTTCTCTGCGTCTTTTCCACCCTTTTTGTCTTTTTCCTTTTCTTTATCACCGCCAAACCAACCCCAGCTCGTCTTCCTTGGGCCGCCTTCTGAGCTGTCTTTCTTGTCTTTGGATTTCCCGTCAGACTTCTTGTCTTCTGGCGCATTTGGGATAATGGACAACGAGTCTACTCTGTTGTTCTGGCCAGGCATCGCGGAAGGCTGGGCTACTAAATCATCAAAAGATTGCGCGGGCTTGATAGGGGAGTTCTGGGCGGCTTGTGCATGGCGATTTGGGCGACCTGCTTGAGGCTGAGGCTGGCGCTGTTGTTGCGGAGGCTGCTGCTGAGGCTGAGGATAATGACGGGGACCAGCAGGCTGTTGCTGGGATTGAGGCGGTGGCTGGCGGGAAGAGTGACGTTCCGGTAGCGTAAACTGAGGTGTCCTGTTCTGCTCCTGTGGCGGTGGTGTCTCGATGATTTGGGGTACCTGCTGTGGTGGAGGGGTATAGCCGGGCAAAGGTGCTGTCGTTCGACCGTTCGAGGCGATCCTCGAATGGAACTGCCGAGGCTGAGGCGAAGTTCGATCCTGTGTCATAGGCTCAGTGGAAGCTGACCTGGGATGTTCCTCCGATGAGCCGGGTCTTTCTCCACCATAGCTGGGAGATGCTCGATTTGCTTGTGGCCGCGAAAAGTTGTTGGACGATCCCTCGAATGCGCCATTGACGGGTTCAGACTGAACGCGCGCAAGTCCTGGGAGAGGCGGGACTTCAGGTATGCTTTCGGTAGAATGTACAGGGGAGGTAGACGGCGAGTCTTCTGTATCAGTTTCTGCCTGTCGGCCAGAGACAAGCCGACGTGAGAGGGCCGGACCACCTTTGCGTAGACTGCCTCGCCTATAAGTAGTATGTGTTGACCTCTTCAGCGTCCCCAAACCACGCATTTTACTGCCTGGTACGATTGGCATCCCATCTACACCCTCCTCCCCTTCTCCAGCAATAGCCTTGTGGTCGATGCTCATACGTCTTATCAAGGCCACTGGGTCCTCCTGTATGTGCTCGAGCTCTTGAAGATTGGACAGGCCACCGCTGGACTGCGTACCGGAGCGTTTCCGTTCCAGTCTCTCAGCACCATCCTTGTAGCCGCTACCGGTATCGATTTGCCTGGAAAGCATAGACTTCTTGCGCCGTAAACCTCCACCTGAGCCCTGACGTCCCATGGCACCGTCGGGCGATAGTGAATCCGAGTCTCCTGAACGTCGTCTCGTCCTGTCGATCTTGTCCTCGATAAAAGTCTTGAATTCCATAGGGGCGAGTTCGGGGTGCAAACGTGCGGGCACCCAGAACAGTTTTGATTCATCTTCCTCAGACACGGCGGGAGGAGAGGGCGGTGAGTTGGCGGATTGGAACGAAGGTAGATCGGGATCGGCATTGTTAACGCCCATTGACATCCTCCGTATGGCTTGCAGGTTGCTCAATTCCTGGGCAAGACCTGCAGGGCTGTTTTCGTAGTCGAGGTTGTTGAGCGGGAACTGGTGCGACGCCGTGTTGGAGTTTGAGCGAGACAGCGGAGGGGATATCTCGCCGCCATTTGAGGGGTTTCGGCCGATAGAAGCCCGCTTCTGGGGCATGTTGGTGCTGCCATTTGGGCTCGTCGGCGTTGCTGGCTTCTCGAAGGACAGCTGGGGACGCAGCGGGGATCTTGCGGGCGGAGCGCTGGGGAAGGGGTCAAAGGCCTCGAAGGCGCCAAAGGACTGGATCGAGTCGCCGTTGGGGCTGGGAATGAAGCTTAGGGGTCGCAGGCTGCGTCGGTTCGACTCAGTGTCGCTATCTCCGCCGTACATGTCGCCTATGGCCTCTGTGACGTGGTGGCTGTCATCGCTGATGGATATCTGCGGCGCATGCCCCCGACGGGGAGGGTTTCGCATCTGATATAGCCGGTCTAGCTCTCGTGCTCGGTCGGTTGCCTGTGGGGTGCGAGACTTGGTCAGCTTGGGGGCTCCTTGGAGGTTGGGTTGGCGCCGCGGGCGTTTGCCGGGAGAATGCCGCAGAGAAACCAAACAATGGTGGTTCCCTGGCAGTCTTCCTATTCCCACCCAGTATGCGCCTGCACGCGGGCTTCAGGACATGCGCGAGGCCAACTCACCATTTGCGAGGAATGCGGAGGTGCGGGTTGGCACAATTGCCACGGCTTGCTTAGGGCGCCGAGGCTCGTGGATCATCCAAGGGCGGGCGGCTGGTGGGCGAGAGGGCTTTGACATGCAGCGTAGGATTAACAATGAAAGCGACCATTACAACAGGAAGAGAGAATGCGTAGAGGTGCTGTTTGACAACTGCAAGCACCGTGTCTAGGGACTAACGCGGAACCTCACTAGCCTCAAGTCAGCCCGAGAGGACGCACGAGTCGGGCGCGACCAGCACTCCGCCACAAAAAGGGAGCATCACCATTGGAACATGTGTTTCTGAGCCCAGCAGCCGCCCTCATCCAAACTGCTTGGACCACCATGCCACTTTAACCCGCCCTGTTGAGTTGGGAACATGTACATCAGGGTCTGGTCAAAAAAGAAGAATGGACCGTTTCAACGTTCTACGACAAAAACAATCCCTACACCAGCGTCCTCAGACTTCTTGCAGCAAGCAAGCAAGCAAGCAAGCAGGCAAGCAAATGCCCAGGTTGCAACTACCCGCGATACCATGCGTGGCGACAGACAATAATAGCCGTCTCAGACTACTCGCAGATCCCCGGGGTATTGTCAGGCTACCAGCCTATGTAACTTGTAGCAGAGAGCTCCTAGCCCACACCATTGTCAAGCGAGCTGTCACTATACACATCACCTCCGACACTACTTACCCACTATCGTGATCCTATGCTAATTCACCGATATCATCTATCCACATATGGCCGCCTAACCCGCCAGGCCGTAGCGCCAGGGGTAAATGTCCCTGCGTCTATTCATTCGCTCGTGCCACTGAGACTTGTCTGCTGTACAACGCAGCCGCCGCACGCCAAGGTGATGTCATGCTTAAGCGCTGACCCTCCGCCATTATCGTGAATATCGCATTGCCATCATTTCCGAGAAGGGTGTGTTTTTGAATTGCGACAAGTCTAGTTAGGGGTAGAAGTGGTGTGCTGCCATGGTATGTACAAGAAGCAAACAATTCAAATTCATGCCTTGGCCCCTAGCCTCAGGAGGACGCGCTGCTGCGTCTCCAGACGAACATGGCGCAACCTACTGCACAGGTAACGGCACCGAGCGCTAAGTAAAGGTTGAGATAGTCATATTCGTCTTCTTCCTGTTTGGGAAAAGCCGTCGATGGATAGGTAGCGCTTTCGGCTAGCTATACGACGTTAGCTCAGCGAGGTAAACTTACGGGAGTAGTACTTACGTGGACGAACAGCTCCGAGATACTGTTCCACGTCGTGCTGACGTGTAGAGGCGGCGCCATCCTCAGAGCGCTGGTGTATTCGTCGGGCTGTTGCTCGCACCGCTGCATCGTCTTGTCCCGATCTGCCTTCAGGGCTGTATATACCGCTGGTAGTTGATCAAGGTGAGGATACTTTTTCCGCAACTCGACGATATGCGCAAAGCTAGTGGGATCGCTCGAATCGTATGTGTAGCACAACAAATCACACGCATCTAGCTTGGCTTGGTTTTCTAGAATCGCGGGTTCGAGTTCGCCGAGCTCCTCTAGAATCAAATAGCATTGTTTGCCGCCTTTGAGTTCAACGCTATTGACAGCTGAGCGCGGTTTTATAGTGGGATGGTACGTGTGGCTGAACGGTCGTTGAAGGAAAGCAGACAGCAATGAGCTCTTTCCACTCCCACTCGACCCAAGCACGTAACACAAGAAGACGTTACGTTCGACTCGCCCAGGCTTCTTCCTTCGTTTCCTCGCTTTGGTCACTTTAAGTGCGCTGGTCGTCCCCCCACGTTCGCCGCTTTCAAATCCGAGATATGCTAGGTACGCGAGAGTCGTTTTGGGTTCTTCAAAAGTAGTCATGCTCCACTGCGCGAGCCAACCTTGTAGCGTGATGTACCCTGCTTCGTTGCGCACCGTACACGACGGGAATGCAGAGTCTACCCATGATGTTGGCATGCCTGGGGTGGGTGCGAATAGATTGGCAAGCTCTCTATCATTGAGTCCTCCGTCATTATCCATATCGAACTTCAAAAATAGGTCCACAAAGAAGCGGTAGCCAGCGGGGCTCAACTCGGCCGATGAGAATTGAGGAACATCAAACTTGGGATGGAGGAACGTGTCCTGGAGACTGAGACTATCAGTGTAGTGGAACTTCCTCAGTATAATCCAGATGGTTTCGTGCCGACCCTTCTCCGCAAAGATTTTGTTCAACAGCAGGAAGCCCTTCTCGTCCATGCCATATTCGCCGGTCAGACCAGGAGCAAACCGCTCCATCGACCTCTTTATGTTTGCCAGGTCATCGTCGCCCAGTGGCTTCTCGAAGCATTTGATCTGAAAATCGTGTATCTCCTGGTCGTTCCAATATCCGTCCTTGTCTGTGTCGCATAGATGGAAGACGCGCTGTAATGCAGAGATAGCCGCCGGCTTCAGTACATTCTCTTTGGAGTCGTACAGGGGTGCTATCGGGTGGGTGACGGCCTTTTGGCAGAGGAAGAAGACCTCGTTGATGTTGTGGTGGTCCTTGGCGCTCGTCCGTATGCAGGAGTCGATTTCCTTGAATTCGTTCATGACTGGCAGCATCTCCTCCGACACTACTTGCGACGTCGTGCCGTTTGAAGCGATATCCGATTTGTTCGCGCATAGCACCACTGGCACGTTGACGCCCAGCGAGCGGAAGTAGGGCATCCAAAACAAGGCAACCCTCTCATAGCTGTAATGGTCCGAGTATACAAGGAGGATTACGTTGGATTTTCGGAGTTCTGTACGGAGAGTGTGTCGTTCGTGGGGGAGGGCGGAAGTATCGACGATGGTGGTGGTGACATTGTCAGGCGTTCCGAGCGTGGGCGGTAGGGTGACCTGTGGTAGGACGGGTTGGATCTTGGCTGTGACGAAGACATCCTTGACGAGAGACGTGATGATGGAGCTCTTGCCGACGCCATCGTCGCCGCAAAGACAGATGCGTACTGTGCGTGTCAGTGGGGGTAGACGTGTAATCGGGAGGGGAACTCCACATACCGGTCGCCATTTCCCTGCCGCGTGTTATTGCATCGTGAGGCGGGCTGGTGGTTTTGAGGGAGGTGATGCAGGGGAGACTCTCTAGACTCGGCTCTGGCTGTCGTCTAGAATTGTGGAACGTTGTGCATCTCAATTCAATTGCTCCGGTGGTCAGAGCAATGCACCAGTGGCTCCAGTGCTGTCAAAAGGCTTGGCACACGTGGGAGACGATCGCAGCTTCCCCGCCAGCGGGCCCCGCAAGATTGGTCGCTGGGAAGGTGCGATGCCTGCTCGACCGTTGGAAGGCGGCCCTGCAGATGGACCGAACCCATGTCGAAGCATCTCCACCAACGATCAACAGGATGAAAGCTGCCACTTTGAACATTCTTGACCTGTGCACGGAGCCGTAAGGCGTCCGTCTCCGCTTTCCACTTCCCCAGTTCCCTCCCGCTGGTTCCATGGCCCGCGCTTCCATCCCAGCACCCAGCTACTGCCGCGGCCACAAGCTTCCTTCTCCGCGCGCTCAAATTGACGTATCCTGCCTCTCCCGGCCAGTACTAATGTCTTAATCTACCCTGTCGTCTCTAGCCAGGCACCACTCCAGGGACTCCACCAGCCCGGATCAATCCGATTCACCGATTCACAGCCGTTAGCTCGCGACCGATCACACTGCAGCAGCTATGTTGTGAGTACCTGTCCTATCTACGTGCTGACCGCCAGTCGCCCACCAATCGCAGCCCTATCATGCTCCACCACCCGCATGTGAAGCTTGACTGATCAGTGTACAGCGTCCTCCCTCCTCCACCGCGCTATCCCGTCGGAGGCTACCCGGGCGTGCAGCCGGGCCAGCTTATCGAGACCAACAACAGCATCACCCATCCCACCGGGCCTGAATATCAGCTCGTCGTGGGAGAAGGTAATTCATGAGCCCCTAGCCCTGTCCTCACTGTCTTCACTAACGCTATGAAAGGTACCTATGTGCTGCGCGACGACCTCCACCTAGCCACGCCCCCGCCGCATCCTTCAGAGGCCCCCGTTCACAACCCAAACCCCCTTGCGACCACGATATCTCCGCCGACATGTGGTACCAAGCTTTCGCTGGTTGCCCTTGCGCCCCGCCAACCTTCGCAATCCCAGCTCTATAGATTCGGCACGCGCACGAGCACCCGATCGCAAGTTCCTCCAAGCATACAGGAGTCGCCGCACGAAACGAACAGCCAAACAAGCGATGTTGGTTCATATGGCGCTAATGGCATCGCATCCTCGCCGCTGGATGGTCTGAACACACCAGTATTCGGAGAGGGCAATACGGCGCTGACGGTGATCAATGGCAAGGACTCCAAGGATCCTACCAAGAGGCGGAAACCGAAGAGCAATATTGTTAAGAGCAATTCATCCTTCGTATCTAGAGTTATCCCGCACGAGGCTCTGACAAAGCGATTACAAGAGCACAACCCCAACGGTCTGTACGCTTTCGCAAACATCAATCGCGCATTCCAGTGGCTGGACTTGACATCGCCTACAAAGGAAGAGCACATGACCAAAATCCTCTTCACCAAGGCGCATGCACTGTGTCATGACATAAACCAGATCACAAAAGGGCCAAATCATCTTGACATCATCATGGGTTTCTCAACAGGCGATATAATATGGTACGAGCCAATGTCGCAAAAATACGCGCGCATCAACAAGAACGGCGTCATCAACGCGACAGCTGTTTCGGACATACGGTGGCTACCCAATAGCGAGAACCTGTTCCTAGCAGCGCATATGGATGGAAGCCTGGTAGTGTACGACAAGGAAAAAGAGGACGCTGTGTTCGTGCCTGAGGAAATCACATCGCCTAGTGAGAACGGACTGACTGATGGGGAGAAGAAACTGAAAGCTCTTTTGACCATCAAGAAGTCTGTCAACTCTAAGAACCAAAGAACAAACCCTGTGTCCTACTGGCAAGTCTCAAGGTCCAAGGTCAATGCTTTCGAGTTCTCGCCCGACCGACGTCATCTGGCTGTTGTGTCCGAGGATGGGTCCTTCAGAATTATGGATTTCCTTCGCGAGAAGCTGCTCCACCACTACATGAGCTATTATGGTGGCATGATGTGCGTCTGCTGGTCGCCCGACGGCCGCTATGTCGTCACAGGAGGGCAGGATGACCTCGTCTCCATATGGTCTCTAGAGGACAGCATGTTGGTAGCACGCTGCCAAGGTCACAACTCATGGGTGACTGCAGTGCAATTCGATCCATGGCGATGCGACGAGCGCAACTACCGAATTGGCAGTGTAGGAGAGGACTGTCGCTTGCTGCTGTGGGACTTCAGTGTCGGCATGCTGCACAGGCCGCGCGCCGTGAGTCCAAATTCTTGAATGCGAAAGAAGTCGCGGCTGACGTTGACTTAGGCATCTGTGCGACAGCGTGGTAGTATCGCGTCGTCGAACCTCAAGATGCAGCGCACCCAGACAGGAAACTCGGCCAATAGACTGAGATCGAATTCTAACCTTACATCGGGCAGCATGTTGGATGAAGAAGAAGTAGTGCATCCCGTGGAGCCTCGGGCACGCACGGCCATGCTACCTCCAGTGCTGGTAAGCACCTCTTGTCTGAAACCTCAACATCAAAATTCTAATCGCCATTACCCGTAGGCAAAATCCGTCCATGAGCACCCACTGTGCTGGCTAGGCTTCGAAGAGGACTGCATCCTAACATCATGTAAAAACGGTGAGTGGCATCAGCAAAGTTTTCGTCTAAATCACCTCATATCCACCCGTTACGCGCACGTTGTACCTTAGAACGATGTGATCTGCGATAAGGGCGGCTTTTACTGCGCCGCTGTGGCCGTGCGCAGGAACACCCGTCTTGTCTAGTGCCACCCAGGGATCCGCCCACGCATTTGTTGAGTTCTCGATGGGCAAAAAATGAGAGATAAGGAAGTGGACCGCTGACAGTTTGAATTGCAGGCCACATCAGGACTTGGGACCGACCGAAAGAAGGCGCTGGGAATGACGACAGCAGTACGTCTGCGAGCGCAAACGGAAACCATGCTTAGGACGAGGTATTCGGATCAGCGTAAGACGTCGTCGCACGATTGAGTTGGACAATGGTGGTGATGGTTGGATCGGAGGTCTTGGTAGGTGCTCTTGGTTTAGGAGCAGAGCGATTGACCTCCGATATGTTCCGATGTCTGACATGTGCAAGACGTTCAGCCCTATGGAATATGCACGTTTACGTGCATGCGCGCGAAGGAGCCTCTTGTTCTAGAACCACGGGTACAGCAGTACTCCATTGTTACAACGTTGCAAAATCAAGTTTCCTTATCTCCACCATGCAACATGGTGTGAAAATCACGACAGTGCGACAGTGTTTCCGGCCGGTAACTAACATGTCTCTTACGACCACGACTTCCTAGGTCAGTGGATACTCACGGCGCGCGTGCGGGAATTTGTAGCGGTAGCCGCATCGCTTCTCTCAACTGTGGGCCTGTACAGTGTACGTAGCTCTGATGAGGCTCTGCTGATACCCACAGTTGCGGCAATGCAGGTCTAGCCGCAGATTTTCCTGACCGTGCCCGCTCGGACCGAGATTAAGGTATAGAGTGAGTGCATATCGCGGGCTTGTTAGAAGTCGTTGGAGAGGCTGGTGCCGGTTTCATCGTGGCGGTAAAACGGTGACGGCGTGACCGGACAGTCATTGTGTTGAAATGAAGTCAGCGTGACATGTGAAGGCTGCAGAAAGATTGTGCAAGCGTTGATAGCATAGCAAACTTTGATAGTGAAACCCCTCACCAACGACACGCAACGCTCTCACCTGTACAGCCCTAATGCTTCCGTGTCAGGCCACGTTGGTTCGAGCAGTTTGGACTGGTTGACGATGGACATTTTGACGTGCAACCGGCGAGGTGCATCGCAGCTCACCATCGTTTCGAAATTTCCCTTGCAGGTTGGCCGATGCAAGATGGCGGCGGCCATTCCATGTGTGGCGCAATCGCTAACATAGAAACCCTAGAAGCCCTGGCGGTACCACAGATCTTCGGGAGAGCCGCAAGCAAAATACTGGATACGTCTCCATGACTCCTCCCTTGTAGCACATGCAGTAGGCGTTGGGTTGCTGAGCGGGCTGTACAACATGTCCGAGTTCTGCGCCGAATGATCCCCAGAGAGCGCGCATCCCCTCTGAAGGTTACTCGCATCGATCGAAAAGAGGCTTGCGTTGCTATCGCCGCCGTTCGCGGGAGGCTTATCGGAACACCTTCTTTGACGCCCCCTGCTGTGCCAATGCGACGCCTAATCGCCGCCAGAAAATTCTAAGACAAGTGAGAGAAGCGCGCTAAACTAGAGACAATGATGCGAGCAGCTACAGGCCGTCTCCACTTATGCCCATGAGCTCATCAGGGTGCAGCTGCTTGGGCAGGCAGGCCGCCCTTGCCCGCATATCCCACGCTTTCTGGTATATCTAACGCGGTTCCAACACGCGGCCGCGCTGAGCAAAGCCCTTACCTTACTCTGCATATCCTTGACGGGTGTTCCTTCCGTCGAATGACACAAGTCCTACACCTGCTTTAAACCCTACTTCCCACCCACGCTTCTTCTCAGCCCCAATCCAGCTTGCTCACATTCGCATACCATACGAGCTGCCCCTACCGATTGTTACCCATCCTTACGTCAGCCTGCGACTAGACCCAGCTGATACTTATCTGCTGGCCTTCCGCCTTTTCGACTCGAAGAGTGTTATGGTGGTTGTGTTTCTCTTGTAATTTTCTACTCGACCCTCGTTACATCATGCCTCGCCCAGGTGTCGGGGTATTCGGCAGAAACGCCGCGCCTACCCTCGAGATCAAGTATGCTCTACCTACTGTCCAACCCCACCATGGCCAAATCTAACAATTTCTCAGGCCTGAGTCGCCTTTCGTTGTCTTCTATGGAGAGTCTTCCGAGTCGCATGAGACGGAGTTGAGGGGAAAGCTGGTTCTGAACAACCCAGAGTCCATGTCAGTGAGGAGCTTGCGAATCACACTCACAGGCACCCGGAAAGTCTCG